GTGTAGGGAGGAAAAGCGGTACAAGGTTATTGGCCATAACTTTCCCAACCTGTTCACACACACGTTTCCATTGTCTTCCCCTCATATTTCTCTACTTCTGCCCATCGCCAGGTAAACAAGCCTGCGCGGGCCCGAAGCATCACGCAGGTTAATCCCCAAACTGTTTGTGGATTCCTTATAATGGCATGATTTGGTTTTCCGTGACTTATGTTGTTATTTGCATGTTAATGCCTGAGATAGGGCAGAGGGGGTGGGCGGGACTAGGGGTATGGGGGCTGTCATAGACCCTCGGGGATTGACAGGAAAAGCTTTTTCTTTTTGATATGAGAAGGCAGATACTGTGGACAAACTACATGTAATTATAGTCAGAAAGACAGTAGCACTGTCAGAGAGAGCAATTCTAAGTTTTGGACCTGCAGCATTTCTTTTCTAGAACTCAGAAATATCCCTAGGAAGATAATGATTTGCGACACACATTGTGCACATACATTCCTACAGTCTTCAATAGTAAAGGTCAAAAACTGGCACGATCTGAATTAACATATAACCGTAGGCTACTCCGCGGTGTGTTATGGTGGTGTCGGTGAATTAGTGTGTCAGCACTAATTCACGGGGGGTGGGGGCAGAAAAAGTTTTCACTTATACACAATCAGCCCTCTGTGGCGCTTCCCATGTGGCTGTGTGGTTAACAGGGCCTTTTGTTCCTGAGGGGAATTCTGTTACATTTCCTCAAAGAGGAGATGCCGAGTGCAGCGCCCTCCACAGGCCAACCTGTGTACAACGTCGGGCCACTGGTGGTAGCCCAGCTAGGATTTTGGGTTAATGTGAATTTTGACAAATAAATTATAAGGAAATCTATAACATACACTGTCCATGTTGCCAGGTGAAAACTGTGCTAACCCATAAGCTAGAAAAGTCACAAAAGTTGCATCTTGCACTCCAGGAAAAATGTGCGTAGGGAATAGAGCATCCTCCATTTACCTTATATATAATAGATGTATATAGCAAACACATCAAAATGTTATGTAAAATTGTTATACAGTACAATAAAGGTGTACTGTGTTCACTTTGCTTTTTCATCTACTGTACTAATGTTGTTACCCACCTTGCTAAATAAATCAACCCATCGACAGTCTCACAAACCTGAAGGGACCAGAAGAGTCAAATCTCACATTGTGTAATGAAAAAGCAGGGTTACATAGGCCTCCATTAGAAAATGATTTTTATGTAAATGAAATAAATACATTCATGACTGTTTGCACAACTTATTCAATGGATGTTTTCAGTTAGTTTTACATTATCACAAAGCTGTGTACTAAGAAAAAAATAAAATTCTATCTGACACTACTCTGTTACAGTATTTTACAAAAACAACAATTCCTCTGAATAATACTGATTGACACAAATATGTTGGCACAGTACACAGACATCTAGTCCTCTCCAAACTGACCACACACACATACAGCACATTTCAACAAGTGTCAGACATCACAAATATTTGACCAAACAGACACACACACACACACAACAGGCCTATGCAGTCACTTTATACTGAAACCAGGAGCACAACATACAGTATATTACTACATCACTGACTATGCATGCTGTACACACCTGCATACATTTAAAAAGTTTCTATCATTTGTAAGCACATGACTTTGTACTATGATCAGAATATTCCTTGCATGGACATGACATGTTCACATTAAACCCAGCCTGTACAGTAGCTACAACGTTGAACCACATGCTTAGATAGTAAAGCTGTCTAAAAATCAGAATTAAGGATTTTGTATCTTTAGCGCAATTCTAATATTAGATTGTCAAATCAGAGAGGTCCACATCAAGGTCGTAAGTTATGGATTATAATACTTCACCATCTGTCTTCTGATTCACCATCATGATCATCATAATCATCACAACCTGTTGCTAAAGCAGCTCCACTGACCTCCTTCTTCTTTCTCAGTGAGCGACGGCGCACTGCCTCTCTACTGTGGGAGCCTAAAGAACTAGGGCTGTCCTCCTCACTGCCTGAAGATCTGCCAGTAGTTTTAGCACCGCACCAGCCATTTTTACTGCGGGATAAATAGCTGCCTACTCGCTCTGTGGCGCCCCTTTCTCCTCCTCTGTAAGAGATGGAAGGAGCAGGGACCAAGGGAATACTCCAACCACCTCCTCTTCGTCTCCAACACCTTCAGCATTAAGCTAACTACCATGGGCATACTGTATAATCAGGTTTCATTTATGTTGACAGTAAGTGTATTAGCTAAATGCTGCAATTGGTCATGTAATTGCAAAATGAAATCAGGTAAATGTATACAAGAGCTACCAACCCTTAAGGGAGTAAAACCTCTGCAGTGTTAAGACATGAAGCACAGAGTCATCATTTGTACATTGACAGGGAAGCTATTATGAAAATACAGAAATCAATCAATCAAAGTTGTGAAAAAGTAGATGTCTGTACATCACAGCAGTCAAGAGCCAAAACAGAGGAGCTGGCAATCAAGGAACCCTGTGTGTGCGTGTGTGTGTTCTTGTACTTGCTACATAGTGATGACCAAAGATTTTATTTATCTTTTCACTACAGAGTGAGGACATGCTTGTGAAATGGCCAGTCCCCACTTTCTGAAACACCTTTTTGAGGGATAATACTTTGTTTTCTGGTTAGAATTGGGTTTAGTTCTGGAGGTTATGGTTAGGGTTAGAGGCTAGGGAATGCATTAGATCAATCAGTGTCCTCACAAAGATAGAAGTGTGTGTGTGTTTGTGTGTATGTGTGTGAGAGAGAGGGAAAGACAGCACCTACAGCAAAATTCTACACATCTACATCTGCCTATTTACAGTGCAGTCTGCATTTATGTTCATTTCACAAACATTACAGATTACCAAACCATAAACTCAGGTACTTGGTATGACTCCATATGAAATAGCAGATAGAAGTTTAAAATGGAAAATTTCCTTCACTGCATAAACCAGGGATTTTCAACCAGTGGTTCATGGCCCAGTGGTGGTCCCCAAAGGCATTGCAGGTGGTCCATGACCATGCATTCAATAATACAGTTTAACTGTAAGAATTTTTTTTAAATTTTATTTTAGTTTTTAAATTCATTTCCCCGTATTACTTATTGTTTGTGAATAATCAAATTAATTAAAAAATATATAACATTTGGAAAAGCCAGGGTGACTTTGAGGATTAAAATGGTGGCTATCCATCCCACAGCAGCAGCAGTCAGGTTATTTCTTAGTCAGAATGGTGGTCCCTGGGTCAGAATTAGTTGAAAAACCCCTGGTATAGACAAATACAAATAATACAAATTTAGACTTCTATCTGCTTAAAACAGTGCTAAGTACTGCACAATTCATATCTACTTTAGGGTACATCTTTAAGAGTACAGGTCTATTATAATAAGTGTCTATATTCCATATTATTTATTCTATCAGCTTCTGAACACACAACCCAAAGGGATTTCTTGGAACAGAAATCTTAATTTCAGGGGAGGGATTTACACATTCACAGAAATTGAACACTCCAGTGCCCTAAGGCCCTAAGGTCCACAAATTGCATTTTTCCCTCCCTCTGAGCATTTCATGCATTTGAGAAAGATTTAAGCAGCAATTAATGAATTAACACCTCTGTTGGCACAAACATTTAAATGGGTTTCTTATGTTCACATAAAGGTTTGAAGAACACATAGAAGAAAAACATGGACCGATTGGATATGAGTTGAACATTTACTACGTCAACAGTTTTACTACTGGCATCTGTTTGACCCTGGCTGTAGTAAGATCCAATTAATATGAGAAAGGGACAGCATTTAGTGCAGTAGCAGGGCACACCCACCATCCAGTGGTGAAAATATGCAATAACAAGCTGTACAGCTCATCTAATGCTGAAACAACACATCGCTCGGAAGAAACAACAGTGATCTTCACATAAAAGTATGATACACCTTCATATATAGTTTCCAATTCTAAAAAGCAGGCATAAATATTTACAATTGCTTTGAGCATTTTAAATGGCTTTATCCCAAAAATTAATTTAACTCTTCTGTCCTTCTCTCTTTCACCTTTTTCATAGTTCCACATCCACATAACTCTACATGTTCTGCATCTTAAAATCATCATCCGTGGATAATTGTCTGTAATCTGTGGAGACCTGTTAGAGCAACAGAAGTCCCTTGTTATTTTATTATTTTAGAGTGTATCATTTTGGCTATACAGTTCACAGTGTGAAACAAAAAAAAAATTCAAAAGGTTAATTTACCAAAAAAAAAAAAAGTTTCTTTTTCCCGCCCAGTGCAGAGCAGAGACTGAAAGAAAAACATTTCACAGATAGCAAGGACAATGCAGGATGTACTTGTCTGCTGACAATACACTCAGTGCATTTTACAGTATTCCTCAGGCACAAAAATAAAATAAATAAAGGAAACAGAATCAGGTTTCTCAATGAGAAGTGTCAAAAATGCCTGAATTCCCCCAGCAAATACACCCATGGTCTGTGATGGCTAATGCCAATTATGTTGATGCAGAGATGATGCAAATGAGAGGAGAATGTTGATTTTCATTGCAATTCAAAACGAAAATTTCTTCTTAGTTATCTCAGTCTATTTTTAAACTTTTATAATACAAGATTGCAACCTGGCGCTGACGCCTCACAGCAAGAAGGTTCCAGGTTTGAGCCCTGGCTGGCCCGGGGCCTTTCTGTGCAGAGTTTGCATGTTCTCTGCGCCTGTGTGGGTTCTCTCTAGGTACTCCGTTGTCTTCCTCCCACATGCAGACATGCATCTTAGGTTGGCTGATGATTCTAAATTGCCCGAAGGAGTGAGTGTGTATGTGGATGTCTGTCTGTACTGTCAGCCATGTGATAGACTGGCGACCTGTCCAGGGTGTACCCCACCTCCGCCCAGTGTCAGCTAGGTTTGGCTCCAGCCCCACACGGCGACCCTATTCAGGATAAGCAGTATAGATAATGGATGAATGGATGATTACAACCTTCATGTTTCACTTGAGAAGGCTTCTTGACATGCCGGTGCCTCTAAATCTCTTTAAAGCGTAGTTCTTTGTTGCAGTGAGTAGTGGGTTAAAACATGAAAAACTGCCTCCAACAGAAGTACAGTAAGATGAGGAAAGCAAGAAAAACTCAACCCATACATGTGGCAGTTCACACCATCCTAGATCCACTGCTGTTGTACTGTGGCAGTGTATGATCTACTGTCTGTTCACACGCTGGTGCCCTTGTGCCTCAGAGTGGTGACTCTGAGCACAAACCTCCTGGTGCTCCGGCGGTATCGTGGCTGGGTGAAGTAAAACAGAATAGGATCCAGAAAGCTGTTCATGCTGGCAAACGGCCTGGTGCTCTTATAGATGATTGAAAACAGGTTTCTCACCTGACACGGCACACCAGGCAAACTACGTATCACTAGGTACATGGTCTTGGTGAGGTGAAATGGCAGGAAACTTATGCAGAACACTGCTGCCACAACAATGATCATCCTCACTGCTTTGTCCCGTTTCTCCCCTGTCGCCATGGAGACCCCCTGGTAGGACACTGGGCGGCAGAGGATTTGGGCCATCCGACAGTAGCACACCATCACACCTATAAAAGGCAACAAAAAGCCAAGGCAGGTCAGAGCCATGCCATAAGGATAGTAGTCTACTGAATGCTTCGGTGTGCTCAAGTCGTAACACACTGTGCGGTTACGCTGAATTCCTGTTGCTGCAAAGTGAAAAGTTGGTGCACACAGGATAGCGACCACCACCCAAACCCCTCCACAGATAAACCATGTCATCCTGTGACCACCGTGCTTGTACCATATCGCTAAAGGATAGCAAATGCCCAGAAAACGCTGCACGCTGATGCAGGTGAGGAAGAGGATGCTTCCGTGCAGATTACTAAAGAGAAAGGAAAAAGAAAATGTGTTTCAGTTAAATCTCATTAAGCTGCATTCTTTTGTACTGCATTGCATTTTATCTATGACATCTGAACCTCCCTCTTACAGGGTAGCTACACACCTTCACTACAGTAATGTGTGATGTGGAGGGCCAGAGGACAGAGGACACAAACCAGTGCTCATACAGCAGCGTGAACAGAGTAAAAGCTGTAAAAGCATCAGTAAAAGCTGATGGAGTTTCCTTTCCTCTGCTGGAGAAACAGGGAATCTGGCACTGTGAAAGTCACTACAAGCATGTTAATGTCCTTTTGAGAGTCACTGTATGGATACCTGAGTTGTAGCTCAGCTAGCAGCACTATAGGGGAGGCTCTTCTGTGTGTGTCCTGCTCATCTGGGGAATGTCAGTAACACAGCACCGCTGTTTCTCACAGCTAAGATTACTGTTCATCAAACCTAAATATAATGTTATGCTCTGAAAACAGCAGCCTTATCTGTGTTGCATGTACTGCCTCTGTTGAGGATTAAATCAATTTGCAATCTAACGTTAGTTTTTCAACTCTCATCAGGCTTGCTAATGCTAACGTGCCAGTTGGCGTGGGAGCCAAACTGATAGAAACTAACTCCATTTGACCAGTAAATGCTGTTTTTTATATGGATTTTGTTGGAAAACTCACCTGTATTGATAGCACATATCAACTAAATTCTATGATTATGTTTACAGCTAAAAAAAAAAATTGTGTGTAGTTACCCTTTAAGCTCTCTTTTCTCATTCTGCAACCACGTGACACATCACAAATGCCTTTGAGGACAGACTGTCCAAAAGAGTCTCGTCCCTCCCTGTGCCAGCAAATGTGTGGTTAGTTCCTTTGAAGCACACTAAGACTGTAGGAAATGTATGTATTCTCATTTAAGTGGAAAGTTAAAAAATGATACTTTAAAACAGCTGCATCCAGAGAAAATGAGCAAATATATTCAGTCAAGTATCTCACCTATAAAACTGAAACCTGATCAGTTTACAGGCAAACTCCCCAAAAGGCCAGTAGTCATGACTGGCATAGTTGTAGATAAGCAGGGGAAGTGACATCACATACAACAAGTCAGCTATGGCCAAGTTGAGCATATAGATGTTGCTACTGGACAGAGTGGGCCTCTTCCTCCATATCTTCTGGATGACAGCAGCATTGAGAGGAAGGCCGAGCAGGAAAACAAAGATGTACACAGAGGGGAGTAAAATCCGTTTAAAGTCTTCCTTGTAGGTGCAGCGAAGGATGCCTGAGCTGCTGATGGCGCTGCTATTACTGATCCTGGTGATGAAGCTGTCTGCTGGGTATGGCTCAGTGGGGCTGGTAGAGAAGGTGAAAGTGTCCGTAGGGAGGGAGTCGACAGAATGTGGCATCTTCATATTCTGCAGGGAGAGAGGTGAGATGGAGTGTTACTTTGATTATAATGTTAACATTTAAACTAAAATAAAAACAAGTAGTTGTGCAAGTTAGGTATGAGCTGTTTTCCAGGCAGATATGTAAATGCATTTAACTGATGAAGATATCCCAATTAAAAATGAAATTCCAGTGGTGGAACTTTATTTTAATTTATTCAAGTACTGTACTTCAGTACAATTTTGAGCAATCTGTACTTAAGCATTTTCATTCTGTGCTACTTCATACTTTGACTTCACTACAATATTGTACTTTTTACTCCACTATAGGTATACAGAGCGGATTGTGTAATGGGGTTTCCAGGAAAACAATAGGAGGTGGAATCTGCTTCTACATAAATGAAGATTGGTGTAAAGATGTCACCGCGTCATTAGGAATTTGCAACACAGACATAGAGACTCTTTCCTTCAACTGCAGACCATTTTATTCACTCAGAGAATTCAGTCATTCATTCTGGCTAGTGTGTATATAAGACCGCAGGCCCACACTAGTATCCAAATATCACCTGGCCAAACAGGTACCTAGTGTGGAGGTGAAACATCCCGACTCCCCACTCATTGTTCTAGGGGATTTTAACAGAGCAAATCTCGCCCATGAACTGCTCAAATGCAGTCAGTACATCAGTTGTCCCACCAGAGACAAAAACACATTGAACCCCTGCTACACTGCAATAAAAGACACCTATCGCTCTGTCCTCCGTGCAGCCCTCAGTCTGTCTAATCACTGCATGGTCCATCTGATACCAACATATAGGCAGAAACCTAAAACTGCGAAGCCTGTGGTCAAAACAGAGACTGTCTGTGAAAATCATTACTAGCTACAGGAAACCATCCCCCTGCTGTGGAAGACCATCAACTGGCAGATGACCTGAATGTGTTTTACTGTAGGTTTGAAAAGCAGAAGTCCACACCTGTCCTCACCTCAGAGCCAGCAGCTGTTCCCTCATGATTACCTCCCTCCGCCCCAGCCCCACCCCTGAAGATCTGTGAAAAGGGTATGTGTTCCCTTTTTAAAAAATAAAAGATCAGAAAGGCACCAGGCCCAGATGGTGTGACCCCCTCCTGCCTAAAAGCTTGTGCTGATCAGCTGGCCCCCATCTTTACACAGATGTTCAGCAGATCACTGGAGCCATCATCCTGGTCCCTAAGAAAGCATCAGCAAACTGAATGGCTACAGACCTGTCGCTTTGACATCTGTAGTCATGAATATTTTTGAGATACTGGCGGTGGCCCACTGAAGGATGCTGCAGACCCCCTGCTGGACCCCCTGCAAACAGGTGCAAACAGTGGACGATGCAGTGAACATGGCACTGTATTACATCCTGCAACACCTTGACTCCCCAGGGGTTCTATGCACGGGCCCTCTTTGTGGAC